TCTTTCTTTCTTTCTTTCTTTCTTTCTCTCTCTCTCTCTCTCTCTCTCTCTCTCTCTCTCTCTTTCTTTCTTTCTTTCTTTCTTTCTTTCTTTCCCTTTCCTCCCCTTCCCTACACAGAACACCTTTAACCTTTATTCTCATTTTTATATTCTTGAAATCTCACCAGATAACCTAACTCATTTCATTATAGGCTTTAAAACAAGGTAGACCAGAAAGTCCACTGATGATGCAGTTGGCAAACTGTAGAGTGTACCCTGCTTCCTAGAATAAATGCGCTTTGACCAGGACAATATCCACTGGCTGCCCCCCACTCCCCCCCCACCATACCACTCTGTTGCAGGAATGTGGCCCCCCGCCAGGAGTCACTTAGTCCAGCCTCTCCATTTAAAGAGGCCCAGAGAGGTTCTGGATGTGGTCCCTGCCCTTGGTGCATTTACAATCTATTTGGGGAGATGATATGTGATCTGATGTGCTTAACACTAGACAGTTTGTTCTAAGTGAAATAAATTGTGGGTTGTGGTATGTAAGCGTGTAAGGGTTTGGATGACATGAGGGATGGATGTGGCCTGTGGAGGTCAGGGAAGGGTCCCTTCAGTCCTCAGTGTGACCCGGTAGCTGGGTCTGGATCAGGTTGTAGGGCCCATCCTGGGTCCTGAGGCCTGGGCAAACCTTTTGGTTATGGCTGCTGCTACAGCTGGCCCCCTGGCTCACCTGGACCCTCCCAGACTGAGCACATGGCAGAGAGGGTGGGTGCTGGGACTGGCTGGGGAGCAGGGCCAGTGGGAGGATTACTACCCAGGCCAGCTGATGTCGATGAGGGTGCCTCCTGGTCGCTTGGGCTCTGCCCCCTAGAGCCAGGTGGCCCTTCAAGCTGTGAATGAGAACATTTGTAGCTGATGTCGCCTTCAAATGGCCTCAGTGACAGCCAGGAGCTTTTGAGGGGAAGCCCAAAGCTGCCAGGGGTGCCAGTGTTTGCTCCGTGGTCTTCACTGACTCCTTGTGGGGAGCAGGGAGAGAAACGCTTCGTCCTGGGGCAAGAGCCAAATCCCAGAGAACAGGAACTCATCTGAGGCTTCTGGTCCTCAGTCTGCCCCAGACTGGATTGGTGGCCTTGTAAAAGTCGTATGAATTCTTTGGGCCTCATTTGTCTCATCTGTGAAATGGGAATAGTAATTACATGAGCCCCTGAAAGATATAGGGCTTCAGGAAGAAACTGACAAACTCTAGGATCCTGGGATCTTCTTTCTTCCTCCAAGCTCTCTCCAGCATCCTAGAGTGCTGGCCCCTAGTGTCTGGCCAGACCCATTAGTTCCCTCAAGCCCGAGCCTCTTCCTTTTCCCCTTCTATGGCAATGAGACAGTTAAGGTTCTCAGAGTGTGCTGGGGGTGGGGAGGTGAGGCTGGGGGCTCCAAAAGGGAGAAATTCTAAACGAACCTATCCATGAGTAGTGACAAGCCAGGGGTCCTCCCTCATATGTTTTTCCCTTCTCAAAAGCAGTAGCAGGTCATGTATGTGAGGAGCAGCCATAGGCTGGGAAGGACGGGGCCTCCCTTTGCATCCCTCCATCCCCCCCATTACCAATCTGGATGGTGAGTGCTTAACCTGGGCTCCACATAACCTCAGGGAGTCTGGGAAGAGATCTGGGGAGTCCATGAACTTGGATGGGAAAAAAAATCCTCCTTTTTACTAATCTATGGTTTCCTTTGCAATGCAACTCATTTTATTTTATGCATTTAAAAAAACTTTATTCTGACAAAGGGTCGGCGGGCTTCACTAGACTGCCACAGCTCTGATGCTGACATAAAAAATCTGTTGGGACCCTTAAGCTGGCCGGGACTGCCCTCCAGCCTGGACTCGCCCCGACCTTCTACCTCCTCCTCTACTTCCCGATCATACCTGTTTGAGTCCCCAATCATTTTTCCATTCATCCATTCACTCACTCTTCATTCATTCATTCATTCAATAAACATTCATTGACTGACTATTGTATATAAGATTCATGCTAGGTCAAAACCCAGGGGAAACAAAGAATTGAAAGGTCCTGTCTGCCCATTAACGTCTACATGGCTGACAGTGCTCACTTTTGCCTCTTCTCTTATTATGACTGGTGGAGTGGCTAACTCCTCTGGAAAATAATAATGGTAATAATAATGATAATGATGATGATAATGATGATGGTAATGGTGATGGTGATGATGGTGGTAGTGGTGATGGTGATGGTGGTGATGATGATGATGGTGATGAGGATGACAATGATGATGATGATGATGATGATGATGGTGATGATGGTGATGATGATAATAGAGAATACTTTACAAAATTATCTTCCTTTATCCTCATAACAACCCTGGGAGGGGAAATCACTATTATTATCCTCATTTTACAGTTGAAGAAACTGAGGCAGATGGAGGTTAAATGACTTGCCCAGGCTTGCTTAGCTCCCAAGTGTCTGAATCTGGATTTGAATCCAGCACTCTGTCCACTGCACCACACAGCTCTTGGAGGCTCGGTGTCTTAACTCCAAAAACATTAACAACAGCAAGACCCATAATGATAGCTAACATTTCTGAAGCATTGTAAGGCTCACAAGACACTTAACATAGATCATTTCATGAGTCTAATATGGGGATTGAACAGATAACATGGCAGGTCAGTAAGGGGGACCTTTTGGGACAGGGTACCCTTTAAACCACACCACCTAGATGGTCATTGTTGTGCCTCTGTGCAGTTGTCCCTGGCTCATCCTGTGGTTTTGAGATGCGCTTAGCTTACATGAAAGTTTGTCTTCATGGTAATGGACCGTTCCACACGCATGATTTTATCTGATTCTTAAAACTGCTCTTTAGTACGAGCATCACCAACATTCCCATTTTGCAGATGAGAAGACTGAGGCTCAGGGTGATCATGTGACTTGATCAAGGTCATACAGCTCAGTCAGTAGATGAGCCAGACCTTGGATCCAGGGCTTCCACCTCCAACTCCAGGGCGTCTTTCCCTCCAGTGACGCAGCTTCTCTGCCCTGAACCAAGCCCTGCCTTGAGCTTGGGGTGGGACAGTGTTCTTACTCACCCCTGCCTCCTTGTCCTCCACCATCCAGTAACTATAACAACGATGACAGCGAGAGCAGCAGAGGACTCTTTGTAACCCAACTCTATTGAATGTGACACCATGATAATGGTGATAAGTGGCATTTCTTTGTCTCTCTAGCGCTTGTGAAGCCCTCTACAGCCACGGTCTCATTGGAAATTCATAACTGCCCTGTAAGATAGAAGCAGCAAGTATTGTTACCCCCATTTTATAGATGAAGAAACTGAAGCTCAGAAAGGTGGACTAACTTGTCTCAGAGGCAAGATTTGAACCCAGGTGTGCCTGATTCTAAGTATGGTGAGCATCCCCTCACCAAGATGCCATTTCAATATGGCTTCACTGGAATTTTTCTCTCCTGGTGTAGAAGATGAGGCTTTGGACCTAGGATTTTTTTGAGCCCTTTCATCTCCAGAGCTGCAGCCCCAGGGCCCTCATCTTGAGACTGGTGAGGGTCTGGTGCAGCCCATCAGGTCAGGTCAGGCTTCACTTTACTCCCCCACCATCTTCTCCCCAGCTGCCTCACTCAGGCACCCCATCATCACCTCCCTCCTCCTCCCACTCCACTGCCTTGCCCTTTCGAGTTCTGGAAGCATCATCAAACCAATATCACCATTTCTGCTGGAAGGGCTCATCAATCTACGACCCCGTGGCTCTGCTCACCACCATCCCTGGGACAAACCCAAATATGACAATCACATCTCCTGAGTGTTACCTGCCCTCGTTAGGATGGACGAAGCCCCTAAAAGACTGACTCTGTTTTGCCTGCTGTACTTGCATCCTCGGCACATAGCACAGTGCTTGGCACATGGGAAACTTTGTTTAATAAATATTGTTTCCTTCTTTCATTCATTCATTCACATCCAGACCTGATTTTTTCATTCATTCATTCACATCCAGACTTGATTTTTTCATTCATTCATTCATTCACATTCAGACCTATTTTCATTCATTCATTCATTCACATTCAGACCTATGATTTCATTGGTGTGTGCAGTTCTTGACGAGAAAACTCCCTTTATTCATGCAAATTTCCACCTGTTCTTCAGCCTTTAGCCTTAGAGGACTGTGAGGTTAAGTGAGTCAAGATGCCTGGGTTCGACTCCTGCCTGTGAGCTTCTGGAGAATGGAGCTAGTGATACCTGTATTGCTGGGCACACTGGGCTGTTGGGAGGCTTTGATGAGATCATGGATGTAAGTTTGCTCATGAACCTTGAAGTGCTGTTGGCTGACAATGTATAATCTTGCTCAGGACCCTTTCATTACCCACTTGCCCCATCCTTTGGGCAGCCAGGAGCCAAGTTGACGTGTTCTGGTT